ACATTCCAGTGACACAGACATGCCAATGACAAAAAACATTCTAGCGACACAGACATTCCAGTGACACAGACTTTTCAGTGACACTGACGAGCCAGGGACACTAACATCCCAGTGACACAGATATCCCAGTGACACAGACATTCCGCCTACATAGACATCCCAGTGGCACAGGCATCCAAGCAACACTGACATCCTAGTGATAATGACAACCTAGTGTCACTGACATCCCAATGACACAGATGTTCCAGTGACACAGACATCCCAGTAACACAGACGTTCCAGGACACAGACATCCCAGTGACACAGATATCCAAGCAACACCGACATCCTAGTGACACTGACATTCCAGTGACATAGACGTTTCATTGACACGGACATCTCAGCGACAGAGACATCCTTGTGACACAAACTTCCCAGTGACACAAACCTCCCAGTGTCACAGACATTCCAATGACAGACATTCCAACGCCACAGGCATTCAAACATCACTGACATCCTATTGATACTGACATCCTAGTGACACTAACATCCCATTAACTCCGACATCCTAGTGACACTGATATTCCACTGACACCGATATTCAGGTGATACAGACATTCCAGTGAAAAAGACATTCCAGTGACAATGACATCCCAGTAACACAAACGTTCCACTGACAGACTTTCCAGTGACACAGACATTCCAGTAACACAGTCATCCCAGTGACACAGACTGTCCAGTGACACAGACATTCCAGTGACACAGACATCCCAGTGACACTGACATCTTAGAAGCACATCCTAGTGTCACTGACATCCTAGTGTCACTGACATCCTAATGACACTGACATCCTAGTGTCTCTGACATCTTAGTGACACTGACATCTTAGTAACACACACACTAGTGACACGGGCATCCTATTGATACTGACATCATAGTGACACTAACATATTAGTAACACTCACACACTAGTGACACTGACATCCTAATGATACTGACGTCCTAGTGACACTGACATCCTAGTGGCACTTACTTCCTTGAGACACTGACATCCTTGAGACACTGATATCATACTGACACTGACATCCTAGTGAGAATGACATCCATCTGACACTGACATCCTAGTGACACTGACATCTCAGTAACACTCACACCCTAGTGATAATGACATCCTAGTGACACTGGCATCTTAGTGACACTGACATCCCAGTGACACCGTTATCCTAGTGACACTGAAATCATGGTGACACAGACATTCCAGTGACATAAACATCCCATTCACACAGGCGTTCCAATAACACAGACATTCTACTGACACAGACATCCCAGAGATACAGTCAGTTTAATGGCACATACATTCCACTGAAACAGGCGTTTCATTGACACAGACGTTCCAGTGGCAAAAGCATCACAGTGACACAGACATCCCAGTGATACAGATGTTCCAGTGACACAGACGTTCTAGTGACATAGACGTTCCAGTGACACAGACATCACAGTGACGCAGACATTCCAGTGACACAGACATCCCAGTGACACAGGCATACCAGTGACGTAGTCGTCCCATTGATACAGATATTCTAGTGACACAGACATCCAGTGACACAGTCATTGCAGTGACACATGCATCCCAGTGGCACAGACATCCCAGTGACACAGTCATTGCAGTGACACATGCATCCCAGTGGCACAGACATCTCAGTGTCACACACATCCCAGTGACAAAGAAATCCCTGTGACACAGACATCCCAGTGAAACACACATCCCAGTGACACAGCCATCCCAGTGACATAGAGATGCCAGTGACAGATATCCCAGTGACACAGACACCGCAGTGACACAGCCACCCAAGTGACACAGTCATTTTTGAGATAAAGAGACAGAAAGATGATAATTTCCTGCCCTTTCATCGATTCCCAACAATCTCCAAGAGAGAAAAAAAAATAACTATTCATTACATTTTCTTACATGTTATATTTTATATTGTAGTCAATTCTTGATAAAGAAGTAATTTATCCAGTTGATTAAAATGAATTACCTGAATATTAACTTCTATTTCAACTTCCTAGTTAAAACTAGTAACTTATGTTATCCCAATAATTAATTAATTAAAACGAATTTTACCAAGGTTATTTTGCTAGGTTAGTTTTTTGTGTAAATTAAACAAATTCGCATTAAAATTATATATTTTTTTTTTTATCTTGGAGAATGGAGGCGAATCTCAAAGTGTTGGAAAAGAATGTTATGTAACGACAGAGTGGAAAAGTATTTAAATTTTTAAGGCATGTAAATAGCTACAAACAGGTTTACCAAGTCGAATGTCGAGTGAGAGGTGAATATCTCTAGGTAAGCGTACAGTGGATTTCAGTTCCAATATTTCTGACTAAAGCAGTTTTGATTGGCTATACAAGTATACAGATTTACAGATTATTTACGGTATTAGTGATCCCTCAAGTAGTCGATAGGCTTTTAGCTTAACAAACGAAGCCTTTAAATAGAGATCCAGCCCATCCCATTTGAAATGTGTATATATATATATATATATATATATATATATATATATATATATATATATATATTATATATATATATATATATATAATATATATATATATATATGTATATATATATATATATATATATATATATATATATATATATATATATATATATATATATATATATATATATATTATATATGTATGTATATATAGTATAGTACGCAGTTCTATACCACTCAGCCAGACACTAATATGGGTATTGCCGTCCAGCTGACACAAGGTGTTAGCTGACATACCCAGGAACACACGGCTTGTACTTCAGCTGAATAACTGGTCGGAGCTTGGAGAATTTTAGGCTACATGGAAACAGGGAAGGTCCAAGGGGCTTACAAAGAGTCTGCTCTACTTAGAGAGGGTTCAAAGAGCTTAGGATTTGTGAAGATATCTCCGGTGAATGAAGGTTCATAGAAGGGGCCTCAAGGGGTAGCTCCACGGACCCTACCCTTCGTGGAGGTCCCAAAACCTCTATGGTTCGTTGGAGAAGCCCACGCATGTAAAGAGGTTTCATGGAGAGAGCCACAATGATATGAGGCTTCATGGAGGAGGGATCACATTGACACTAAGATACAAAGATGGAGCCTTAATGTGACCTGGCATTAAGGAAGGAGTACCAGTGAGACTTAGTATCGATCAGGGAGGCTCTCCAGTGAGCATATGCTTCGTAGATGGGGCCCAGAAACAATAAAATTCATGGAGGAAGCTACGAAAGTCTTAATTTTATGCACGCTCCGTAGAGGCTTCCAAGAGTGGGAACGAAGGTTCTAGGCTTCACGAAGGGAGCCTCCAGGAGTGTAGGCTTCATGAAGGAAGCCTTCAAAAGTGTAGGTTTCATGGACGGAGCCTCCAGGAGTGTAGACTTCATTGAGGGAGACTCCAGGAGTTTGGCCTTCATAGAGTCAGCCAATAGGAGTGTGGGCTTTATGAAAGAAGCCTCCGGGAGTGTAGGCTTCATGGAGGAAGCCTTCAGAAGAGTAGGTTTCGTGAAGGAAGCCTGCAGGTGCGCAGGATTCCTTCACTAATAACAACAATATCTCTTATATAAATATCTGTGGGCTCGACTAATTCGCTCAGCTAGGCGAAGATCTTGTGAATAACTTAAATCTTATTAAATGTGCCCCACAAGCTTCGTTACTTCGTTACTTATGAAGCATTTCAACCACAGTTGGACCGGTAATTCTATGTGTCACCTCTACAATAACTCCAAGACTTATTTAATAGTTAAAATGCATTATTTAATCCTTTACCGGGTTTATAGAACAAGCACGCGAATTTTTTTTCTGGGATAAAAGCCTATCGACTATTGGAGGGTTATTAAACTCTATTGAACCCTGTACACCAACTGCCAAGATTACTTTTATCCATTAAATAGAAATTACATTAAGCTCTCAGCCTATACACACTGATACATGTATAACTCTCAGTATATACACACACTGTTTAATACTACTTATAGCAGTATAGGATCTTAAATCTATGAGAATGTGTTACGTGTATTGTCAGGGGAAGGAATTAAAATATGTAAATATTTATACATTTTGACGATATGTACATAGAATACAAGTTGTTAATGGGTTACAGTCTACGTTTCAATGTTTAGTACACTTATCATCTATGGTGGAAAGGATAGTGTGAGGCACTGGTCGTAGTCTGGTAGTTGTCTTTATGTCGTGGTGTGGTGTAAGAAGTGCCGCACTGTGTGAGGAATCACTGCTACACTGTGTGAAGCAGCACTATCACACTGTGTGAGGAGTCAATGCCACACCGTGTGAAGCAGTACTGCCCCAGTATGTGATGCATCAGTGCCACACCATGTGAAGCAGCGCTATCACACTGTGTGAGGAATCAATGCCGCGCCATGTGAAACAGCAATGCCACACTGTGAGAGATGGCAAGGCCAACCTGTGTTAGGCATTATTACCTAACAGTATAGAGCAGCATTCCTGCACTATGTAAGGCAACACAGGCTATCTCTCGTCAGTGTGAGAATAAAATTGACATGTCAACCAGTGCCTCTGGAAGGAGGGTCACAGCAGAGGACAGAACAGGAAGGTTCAACAAAAATATTTATAAGATGGGTTTTTTAAAAATAAAAGATATACTAAAATGTAAACTCAAAATAGGTAGATTTTAAACAAGTTTGGTTTATATTAATTCTATCTATTTACTATATATTATAATTTAAAAGTTTATTGTGTATCAAATATTTTATACATTATACTTTCAAACTATTCCGTCATTAAAAATATTTAATTCTAAATCTATTTTTTTTTTATTTCTAACTAAATGTTTAATGTTATGGCATACAACAAATTTAACATGTTTGATAAAATGTGATTATTAATGTTTAAAAGTTGGTATCACTGAAGACAATATTTAAACTTAAAACACGACTCTGAGGTATTCGTGGGAGATACTGAGTGAGTTGATGGTGTTAAGAAGTGCGTTTGAGTGGTACTTACCGACAAGCTGGGTTAGAGAAGTGACCCTTGCTGAAGATCACACCGTCAAAAGGTAGGGAGAACTCAACGTTGACTGTCATGCCCGATTTCTCACACTGGACGTCGAGGCTGGTGATTTGGGGCATGTTGGGCATGACTGCCGGGAAGTCCAGGTCATTATTCAGGTCTAGCTGCCCCGCAGCCAGCTGAGAGAAAAATGGAAAATCGGGTGTTACTTTACCAGTGAACGCTACTTTATTATTATTATTATTATTATTATTATTATTATTATTATTATTATTATTATTATTATTATTATTATTATTATTATTATTATTATTATTATTATTCGGCGAGAAACACTGGAGTTGTGGATGCCATGTACTCCTGCAGAAAAAGGGTCGAACCCGGAAAAAAAAAATTCCGATAGAAATATTTTTGGTGTCATCTGATGTAGAATTACCCTGAACCACATATTTATAGTCCCCATAAATTCACTTTGGCGTCATTTTTTTACAGGGATTTAAGGGACACGTCAGTTTCCTTGTCTTCTGATATGTTATTTTTACCATATAATCTACCTTGTCCATAATTAATATCTGAGCTTCGCTCAGACCTGTGCAACACAAACCCCCCCCCCAAAACCAAAAATTCAAAAAACGAAATATATGGGTATTTTAAGTACGGAATTCATGTCACACGTCCCCACCAACTGACGCCATAATTATTAGTGTGGTAAAAAATTTCCGTCCTACCAGACAAATAACCTCAGGCCAGAGACTGAGTAACCTCCGCCGTCACCTCGCATCAAAACCATTTAGTCTTGCGGATGACTGCGGCTCTTCTCCTTCAGGTATATCTTATGAATGTGATGTAGTCTTAATGACTAGGCCTAGCTTATTAATGTGATGTGGTCTTAATGACTAGGCCTAGCTTATTAATGTGACGTAGTCTTAATGACCAGGCCTAGGTTATTAATGTGATATGGTCTTAATGATTAAGTCTCTCTGATACTTGTGATGTGGTCTAATGACTAGGTCTGTCTTATTAATGTTGTGTGGTCTTGACGATTAGGACTGTCTTACGGTGTCCCGTAGCTCCATTACTAGTTCACACACTGAGGTCCGGGGGGTGGAACCCCGGTACGGGCGGAAACATTAGGACGTAACACCTGCTGTCCATGTTCACCCATCAGTAAAATGGGTACCTGGGTGTTAGTCGACTGGTGTGGGTCACATCCTGGGACAAAAATGACCTAATTTGCCTGAAATGCTCTGCAAATGTTAGGTTAGGTAAAGTTCGTCAGGAAACAGGACAAGTGTTTCCTGACGCAGGTCTTAGTCGGATGATGACCTACCGTTGGAGCTTTTGGTCATCTGACCGAGGCCTTCCACTGGCTTACCGGTCCACCTCTTTAAAATTATGGTTATAGTTATAACAATTTTTAATAATTATTTCTCTGCATGACAAGGGGCTTTCTATATACCAGTAAGTCAGTGATGTCAGCTATGGTCTGTATACCTTGTACACGTACTTGAAGAAATAGAGTATTACAATTATTATTATTATTATTATTATTATTATTATTATTATTATTATTTTATTATTATTATTATTTATTATTATCATTATTATTAATATTTTATTATTATTATTATTATTATTATTATTATTATTATTATTATTATTATTATTATTATTATTATTATTATTATTATTATTATTATCATCATCATCATTATTATTTTATTATTATTATTATTATTATTATTATTATTATTATTATTATTATTATTATTATTATTATTATTATTATTATTATTATTATTATTATCATCATCATTATTATTTTATTATTATTATTATTATTATTATTATTATTATTATTATTATTATTATTATTATTATTATTATTATTATTAGTGTGGTGTGGTCCTGACCGCTCGGTCTTATGGTTGTGTGTGACCTTCACTAGCGGGTCTGTCAGTGATGATGGTGCTGTAAATATGCGAAACTGTCGACTGTACAACGTTTTTCATCGGTTTTCAATTAATTAAAATATTAACATAAATAAAGAAATAAATAAAGGAAAAGAATGTAGTCTGTTATTACTAAACAAAAGAAGCACCATTAATGGTACATAATTAGTCTATATCTAGACAAGAAAAACACCATACTGGTACATAATCTGTATCTAAACAAGAGAAGCACCATTAATGGTACATAATTAGTCTGTATATGTAGACAAGAGAAGTAACATTAATGATACATATTCAATCTATATCTAGACAAGAGAAGCACCATTAATGGTGCATAATTAATCTTCATCTAGACAAGAGAAATGCCATAATGGTACATAATCTATATCTAAACAAGAGAAGCACCATTAATGGTGCATAATTACTCCATATCTAAACAAGAGAGGCACCATTAAGGGTAAGCAATTACTTTAGGTCTAGAAAAAAAAAGTGTCATTAAGGGTACATAATAACTTTGCATTTACACCTAACTCTTCAGGAAACCGGTAGACATAATGCGGAATGCGACAAAAACACGCTGAGTGTTCTCAATTAACAACAACTACTGGTTGATGTACACACTACTGTGATATCTCTCGACGTCTCAGACTGTTAATGTCGATTGAAAGTCCGTCTCTCAGCGGGACGTCATCACCAAACCTTACAGAGTGCTTTCGTCACCATGAAAACAGAACAGTGAGTGTTGTCCCGTGTCCTGGTAGACAACACTCTCGCCTCACACACTGAGTGTTCGTGGTCGATCCCCGACAAGTGTGGAAACATTGGGCGTGTTTCCTTACACCTGCTGTTCCGTTCACCTAGCAAGTAGGTTGGTACCTGGGTGTAAGTCGACTGATGTAAGTCGCATTCTGGGCTACAAGATTTAAGGACCCCAATGGAAATAAGACAGACAGTCCTTGATAATGCACTGCCTTTCCAGGATTATCTTGGGCGGCTAACCCTCCAGGGTTAGCCGCCGAAAAAATTTTTGTCTTATTTTACCTCAGCACCATTTATTTTCGCAGGTTTAAGGCTATTGATTTTTACATCTGAGAATCTGTATATTTCGCAACCTGTATTTAATTTTGCTGGTAGTATCAGCAGTGATCCAGAGGTTGTTAGTGTTGGCACTGAGCATCTTGATGTGTGTGTGTGTGTGTGTGTGTGTATGTGTGTGTGTGTGTGTGTGTGTGCTCTTACCTACTTGTTCTTACCTCTTTGTAGTTGAAGGGGTCGATTCACAGCTCCTGGCCCCGCCTCTTTGCTGGTCCAATCTCTTCCTGCTCCATGAGCTTTATCGTACCTCTTGCCTCTGCTACATCACTCTTCAGACTGTTCCACTTCCTAACAAGTCTATGACTGACTATGACTAACATCCCTGTGATTCACCTGAGTTTTCAGCTTCCAGCTGTGACCCCCGTGTAGTTGTGTCCTGTTTTTGAAACATTCCTTCCCTAGCCACCTTGTCAATTCCTCTCAGTATTTTATATGTCGTTATCATGTCCCCCTATCTCTCCTGTCCTCCAATGTTGTCAGATTGAGTTCCCTTAACCTCTTCTCGCAGGGCATACCCCTCAGCTCCGGGACTAGTCTTGCTGCAAACCTTTCACTTTCTCTAATTTCTTGACGTGTTTAACCAGGTGTGGGTTCCATTATGGGCCTGACGTACACGGTGTACAGTGTCGTAAATAAGTCTATACTTAGATGCCGAAACGCTATTCTCAGGTTTGCCAGGCGCCCATATGCTGCAGCAGTTGTTTGGTTGATGTGCGAGATGTATTCGGTATAATGTTCACACCCAAGATCCTTTTCCTTGAGAGTTTTGCAGCCCTTTACCTCCGTCTTTGGTCTTTGTCTTTCCCAAAGCTTCATATCTTTGCACTTGCTGGGGTTAAACTCCAGGAGCCATTTGTTGGACCAGGCTTGCAGCCTGTCCAGATCTTCTTGTAGGCTTACCTCATCCTCGTCCGCTTGTATTCTCCTCATTAGCTTCACATCGTCTGCGAACAGAGATACCTCTGAATCTATCCCTTTCATCATGTCATTCACATACACAATAAGTGTCTGCTCCTCATGCTTTTCGACCAGCCTCTTGTGTGGTACTGTGTCGAAGGCCTTCTTACAGACCAAGAAGATGCAGTCTACCCATCCCTCTCTCTCCTGTCTTATTTCTGTTACCTTGTCATGGAACTCCGATAGGTTTGTGACGCAGGACTTCCCTTCCCTGAAGCCGTGCTGGTAATCATGTATGAGCCCTTTCCTTTCTAGGTGCAACACCACTCCTCTCCTGATAATCTTCTCTGTAACTAAAGTTACGGAGAAGATTATCACTATGCATGTTCAGCAACACTGGTCTGTAATTTAGTGCAGCCTGTCTGTCTTCTTTCATAAAAACTGGGATTACATTTGCTGTTTTCCACACCTCAGGCAGTTGCAATATTTCGATAGATTTATTGAAGATTTTTATTATTGGCACACGCAGTTCATCTGCTCCCTCTCTCAGGTCCCAAGGAGAGATATTATCTGGGCCCACCATCTTCGACATATCTAGTTGCCCTAGCAGTTTCTTCACCTCCTCCTCGGTTGTGTGCAGTGTCTCCAGCACTTGCTGGTGCCCCCTACCACCTCCGTTTGCTGGAAGCATCTCTGTCTCCACTATGAGTATCTCCTTGAATCGTGAGCTGACCTCCTCACGCACTTCCTGGTTGTTCCCTGTGAATTCCCATCCTTCATTCCTCAGCCTGATTACCTGGTCCTTGACTGTTGTTTTTCTCCTGATGTAACTGTATAACAAATTGGGTCAAATTTTGCTCTTGATGCTATATCATTCTCGTATTGATGATGGGTTTCTCTCCTTATCAATGTGTATTCATTTCTAACTGTTCGGCTCAACACCCTGTTTTCCTGGTTTCTTTGCCTTCTGTATATTTTTCGTTCTCTAGCACACTTGGCTTTGGCTTCTCCACACCTCTGGGTAAAGCATGGGCTCACTCTAGTCTTCCTGTTGCTCCTTCGTACGAACTTCTCTACTGCCTCCCTGCACATTGTAGTCACGTGTTCCATCATTTAATTTACTGCCTTTCCCTCTAGCTCACTCACCCACCTCATGTAAGAATTTCCTCAGACCTGTGTAGTCCTCTTTTTGGAAGTATGGCTTCTCCAATCCTTCTTGTACCACTTCACTCTCC